TGTTGGTTTTATCAAAAAAATGTTCAAATAAAACTTGTAGAGGACTCACTTCTCTACAATTTTCGTATATTCGCTTTTGCGGTGACTCAAAAAATACCAGAAATAGAGGGCGCCAAAGTTGACTGTGTCTAGTAAATACTATTTTTCGTGAGGAAAATTCGCGGTTTTATTGTGAATTGTCGTACATTGAAACTCTTCATTTTTTTTTGATAAAACTAACAGGGGGCAATGTAATTGTCAATAAAAATGTTTAACCCCAAATTAACGGCATTTTTTTGGTTGTAACTTTCTTTCCTTGCTGGACTACATAGATTTTTTATTATTCGACTGAACGAAAATAAATCGCGTCGACGATAATCCAGCCATAATTCATATACAAAAGCCGACTCCGTGCTCGTCCACAACTATTTTCTACGAAGGGGAAAGAAGAAAGTTTGATCGCAGTAAGTGCCGCTATCACGAGATCACTTTCGACGCGATTTTTGCTCTGGATGAAAGCTCCGATCATTGTCGTGATGTCATGTTCTTAAATTCCATATCGTGTCCGTTAGAAGCAGGACATTATTCTTAGGAAACGCAATCATATTAGTTTCCCAAGTCATTGGATTATTTATGCCATCTGCTATCGAGGGACTCTAGATACGGTAAAAGTGCTTTGTGCCGCGGCTTCCTTCAATCATTGTTCTTACTGTCGCAATCGAACTCATGAACATAGTAAAACATAAAAACTGTCAGAGAATAACCATTCATTGATAAAGTATGGATAATTCTGGGCGTCTCGTAACTTTCATTTTAATGAAAAATATTAAATGCCAAGAAAATATTTTTGATATAGAAATTTTTTAAATTTGTAAACTATTGAAGAGAAGATCAAATAATTTTAGCTGCAAAGAATATATAAGAACCCTTCCTTCGTCAGATAATTTCAAGCAGACATAATTAAAATTTAATTAAACATTAAGTTGTTGAAATAATTTAATACGAAATTATAAAGTTGTAATAAAGAGATAGAAATCCATTCTTACATATATATATATAAACCGACGTTTTTATTAAAACTTGCGCCTAATTAATGTTTCCTCAGCGCATCAGAATATTATCGGAGTATTCTCTTATGTCAAGTGAAAAATAGGGCATTAGGATATTAAGCAATAAAATTGCATGTGCATCGAAAGTTTCTCAAGAGCGACGAGAAAACGACGGGGACCATTGTGACGCAAACCGAAAGTTGCGCGCGATAAATCACTCTTCGTTTAGTTGAAAAAATATAAGAGAAAAGAGAAAAGGAGAGAAGGCTCGCGTGCTGCAAAAAGTAAGATAAAAACTTACCTTGCTGGCGTGCGGTTGGACTGACTGTTCGTGAGAGAGTCTGCTGCAAATCGGCCGAAAAGGCAGCCTGCCGTGTTTTGCTCAGGTATAACTGCAAGAAAGAAATGAATTACGTGAAATTATTCCTTCGACGTCAATTCTAATTTATAAACGAAGCATATCTTTAATTGCATGTACTACATTAAGAATGAGCTCAAGTAATGTGGGAAGACAGATGTGTCGTGACTAAGTCAAATCGTGCACTATTTTAAATTATAAGACGAGCGAATAATTCACTTGTAAGTAGCAAACAATAACGTTTAAATCATTTATTTTAATATTTAGCTATTATAAGAAGAAGGGATTTATAATAATCAGTATTATTATACTTTGGTATGTATGTGAAAGCAATACAATTGATAAAAATATATAAATTTAGCGTATAGATATTTAATTCATTACAATACAATAATCAAAATCAAGTCAAAAAAATGAAATAAAAATTGCATGATATTTAATTTTAATTTCATTTACATTTATTTATTTTCATGATGTTTAATTTCAACTTCATTTATTTTATCTATTTATTTCCGATAAAAATACTCCGATCCAAAATAATTATTGCAAAGTAATGTTACATTTATTTAAGAAAATCCATTTATTATTATATCATTCTGTAATTAATGAAGTAACGATAGTTGCCTCCATTTAACGAGTTAATCGTAGCAAGGGAAACTCCGAGTCGCTTAAAACTCGTTTCGTTCGTGTATAAGGAAGACTCCGGAATCGCGAGCGGGATCGAAGAGATTTGGCATCCCGATCACGCGCTAAGGGCAAGCCATCCCCTTTAATATTAGGACCAAATCGGACCGACTCGCTTCGGTATAAAATAAAGGGCTGACATGCGAGCACGGCGGGAGAGCCGAGCCAAGCCAAGCCGAGGGAGAAGCCGAAGCGGGAAGGGAGTCTCGCGCGCGCGAGAGAGTAACGGAGAAAGGCGTGGAAGACAGGCATGGAAGGGTGGCTTCACCACCGCGGTGAGGGATGACTGAGCGAGTCGGTTAAACGGGCGTCTTCTTTCATAAATTTGGAGGGCGCCCCCGGATAAAGGTTTAGAATAAATCGTTCGGCCTGTTATCCACTCCGACGTCGGCGGATAACGGCAGACGAGAGCGACCCCGGATGGCTCAACAATCCCTCCTCAGCTTTCCCGCATGATCACACGTTGTACCGCTTTGAGATGCGTTTTCCATCCACCGCACATGAAATTCGAAGTTTCATTAATACGTTATACATTTTATACCGAAATACGCGTAAAATATTCATGCGAGTAAATAATGGAAAGACTTATAGAATCAATCGAGATTTTTCTTAAGAAGAAAAACTCATTTTTTTGTTAATATGTTATCGATATCTATTTTACATAAAACTATGAGAGAAATGCTTATAATAATTGAGGAATAATTTAACGCAGAAATATTGCGCGTATAATGTAAAGGATAACTTACTACGCGCAAAGCTGACTATCTAAAATGGCGAGCGCAATATGAAAGTTCAGGCGGGGGTGGCTAGAATGCTCATAAATATATCCTCGAAGATCGCACAAATCGCTCGTTCAAGGCCAATCCCCTTCGACGTTCCCTGCAAGAGATACGAGAGGGAACCCTTCTTCGTCTCGCGTAGAAATACGCGCGGCGATATGGCAAGTATATGCGAATTACATGCACGCACGCATGTAACATATACGAACACATGGTCCGAACGTATCAGACTATTGCAAAAAAAAAAGGAATATGATGGAGAGAAGGAGAGAGAGAAAGAGAAAAGAGAAATGAAAGTAGAAAGGCGAGAACCTTTCAAGAGAGAGAGAGAGAGACGAAGAGGCTAAACCAGGCAGAAAGCCAGTCCAATTTCTCAAACCTGTCCAATCTGTGTCGTATGCAAAATCAATCACGCTCTACCCTGCCATACCACTCTCCCGGGGAGCCCTCGGGGCCCCACAATTTTCAAATCTACCCGTAGCCACGCGGTAATCCAACTCCTGAGGCGAAACTTCTCGCCGATCTAAGACAGAGTCCTGCTACCGAAGCATCTTTTTTCGATCTATGTCGTCTTTCTGACGATATCTGATATGTACATGTGCCATGTGTGAATAAAATAAATATTTAGTTATATTTATTTACCGCATTAATCAATGATGTGAATAAATAAACGTGAAATTTGAGAAATTAAACTCGCGTAACGCGCGAGAGTATTTTTTAATTCCTAAAAAATATTTTCCCCTTTTTAATTTCTAAAAAACATTTGTCGATAGAACATTGACATGTTAACACATCTAAAAATAAATAATATAATATATATATATACATGATGATCAATTAGAAATAATGCATATAAATTTCAATAATAATGCATATATTATGAACATCATAGCAGCAAAAAATATATGTACATAAATCAACGAAAGAATAACAACCTTTGAAGCTGCATTGAGATGCACTCGTAATTTCGTCAACGTTATAAAGTTTATATTGAGCCTTTGAATCATGGTAATAATATCGTCGCGAGTGTATGCTCAAAAGGCAGGCCGCGACGCGGAGGAAGACACATTTTAAAAAGTAAAATTCAGAAAGTCATTAGGAACTATCGGACGTTTGTTTCACCGTCCCCCGTCCATTGATATGCATTACCTTCGATCGGTAGCCGCGATCATTAAAGGGGTCTAAGGGCGCTCTGTAAGGGTTTCAAGGCCGGGTGACCGCCTCGAAAAAGTAATTTGTCCTTTGGGGGCGCGAACTTCAAAGTGCACGCGGGACATTCGTCCCGCGTGCGGGCTTGCTACAACAAGCGTCGTTCTACTTGCGCCCCTTTCTACTTGGCGCCACTGATCAGACTTGCTGATTTTTGCCGTCGCAACGTCGGCGTGGACCTTGTCCATCGGCGACCGTCAAGGGCCACGGCTGTCGAAGCTCTCAGCCTCGAAAAGACGGAGAGAAGCGGGAGCGCGCCACGAGGGGTGCGAAGAGTTTAGCATACGCATTTTGTACATTGAAATCTCGACACGTTCGTCCAACTTTAAATTGAAAACCGCCCGACGCGCGTCGTCTCCCCGTCGTCGATGGTCGTCCCCATCGTCTCGCAGAATGTCGTCACATCAACAACAAAAGAGATTACAGTTAAAAATTGAAAGAATTTTAAAAACAAGTATGAAAAAAACTAGCAAATCCTATTCTTTCAAAAAATTATTTAATCAAGTTTAAGATATTAATTGTACTATTAAAATGCAATGCAAATTTATAAACTAAAATTTACACTTTGATATTTATTTCTTCATTAAAAAAAAATATATTTATTTCTTCATTAAAATAAAATATATGAGAAAATTTCAGAATATTTTAGAACACATTATAATATTTAGAAAAATAAACTTGTCTGATTTTTGTATTGGGGTCTTCTTTTTATCTTATAATAAAATATTGATTAAAAGAATCGATTATAAAATTATAGTGAAGAAAATAAAATGGAAAGTGATCTAATGATGCATAAATTAAAAAACGGAATAAAGATAAAAAGAATATAGAAAAAAACGCTATAAAAGAACAAAAAAGATACTATAATACTTGATGACGTTATATCAAGTAAAGTAATATTTACGTAAAATAGTTACAATTTGTTTATGCACATTGAAAAAACCCAGAAGCTGTTACATCGAAAAATTACGACAAGAATATGTTGTCTGCACCGTTACTTTCCATAAGTAATAACATGAAATAATCGCCTTTCTCTCAACAAATTTCCAAATCTTGCCACGTGACATTAGAAAGAAACGATAGTAAGAGATCGGGCATTTTTAATTAAATAATACTAATCACGGAGGGTAACCCTCCTCTCTGCGCAGGCAAATCTCATCTCTTTCTTTTCCTGAACCATCCCTCCTCGTGCAACCTCCTTCTGTCTTTCTTTCACCCCGTCTTGTGCGAAGCTCCTCCTCTCTTTTAGTCTCGCGAATCGTCTCTCTTTTAGACTTCGAATTGTAATTAACATTTGGTTCTCCCATTAGTGTAATTAAAGTGCCATTCCATAATCTAGGAGGCCGAGAGAAGAGAAGAGGGGCACCTTATCTTTCAGACTTCAGCCCCGGCTGCGGGGGTCGTTTTAACCCCCGCTGGGCGCCTCCAGCCCCTTTCCGGGTCTACGCCAACCGTCGGTTGCCCGTAGCTTCCTTCGGTGATAACTCCTTTTCGCGAGAAGACTCCCCCCGTTGGAGGAAAAAGGAAATCGCGGCAGGGAAAAAGAAAAACGGTGATTAAAACGTTTGGAAATCCGATATCGTATCTCCACGTGCCGAGTCGTCTATTCAGAATCGCGCGTACGCAAGCCGATTTTGCGATTTCCGTTCCCTTAAAGGAGAAAGCTTGACGATATCAAATTTTAAAGCAGATAGCTATTCATATATATGCAAGCAATATACATATACTCTGTGTACATCTATCATTTTTGAATAAATAATAATTTTAGAAAATCACTTCCTTTTTTCGCGAAATTATTGTAATAGATATATATATAAACGTTTAATATTTTCCACATACATAACATAACTAAAAAAATATTGCAGAAAAGACGATGAATATGCGCCAGCGTAACACATTTTACGAAGATAATCGGTGGAATGTGTCATTCCCAGATTGGATTCGTCGAGTTGCACGAAGTCAGACAAAACAATAAAGATAAAGGACAAGAGGGAGAGGGCGTCGGTAATGGTAAAAGAAAAGCAAGCAGATAAGAAAAGAACTGCCTACGTTGACATTTTCCGGTGGTTGAGTTAATAATACGCGCGGTACACAAGGCGCGTCGAGCGGGGATGGATCCACAAAGTGCCATCATAAAGAGGCGCGGATGTGTTTATTCGGGAATTTGCCTTTTCCCACCGTTTCCCCCTCTCGACCCGGATGCCACGAGATTTTTATCTTATTTTTCGACGACGATACCGCCTGGGGATTTATATACTTTTAGCTCTGGATTGAAAAGGAGGGCGTGCGAGCGACAGAAGAAAACAAGGGATGGCGAGAGAGAAAGAAGGGGAGGGGTGAGGACGACGAAGGAGTAGGAAGA